TGCTCGAACTTCCCGTACCGTGATTCATTCTAGGAATAACTAGCTGTAAGTGGAATTCTGTCTTAAGGCAATTAAGGCATCGTGCCTTGAGGCAAATTGCTGGAACTTCCCGTACCAAATTTTTTTTTTTAAAAACGATTAAGATTTTTGAAAAAATTTTACTTCGAAATATAAGACTTTTGAGAAACTTTTGATATATATTGGACAAAAAATTACTTTTTTTGAAAAAAAAAAAAAATTTAATTTTTTTTTTTTTTATTTTTTTTTTGAAAAAAAAAAAATGTTTTATTTTATTTTGACATATTTTGGAAGATCTAAACTTTTTTTCAAAGTAATCGTACTGCTTTAACTGCATAAAGACGAAATATCAAAGCGCGTAAGCGCCGCGTCGTCGTCTAACGCGTAAACATTGGTACGGAACCCATAGGAATGTAAAAAAAAATTATACTTATTGTTAAAATCTCTATAAAATATCTGATAATTTGATGTGCATATGTCTAATGATCATTTTTGACCCAAATGGCATTTTTTTTTACTTTTTGCATCAGATCTCCGAAACCGTTAGACCTGCCTTTATGAAAATTTGATCAATTCTTTATCTTGTCAATACAAGTAAAATGTTTTTTGAATTATTCAAATCGGACGCTCCGTTCTCTTAAAAACTGAGTTTCCGTTTTCGGCACTTTTTGCCCCGTATCTTTGGAACGGCTAGACCTGCCTTCGCCAAAAACTAATCAGCACGTCTCCTTATTAATACGAATCGAATGTTTTTTGAATTATTCAAATCGGTTGATCCGTGTTCCCGAAATCGTCGACGAAAATTTGTATCCGCACATACATACACACACGCACATACATACATACATACATACATACATACATACATACATACATACATACACACACACACACACACACACACACATACATCCATTTTTTCTAAGGTATGCCAAAATGTTCAGAAACCTCTGAAACGTAAAGATATATAAAAAATTTCATTTTCGATTTTTTTGCGATTACTATAACTTGCCCTACGGGAAGTTAAAAATAATCAAATGATTTAAATAATTTTAAATACATTATTTATTATAAATACATACTGTAAATTTATAAAGGCTTATTAAAATGGGCGACGAGCGTATTCTACAAACAACTTATGTGTATGTTTACAAAAATTTTAACACTTTGGTTTCTGAATTTTTTTTGAAGACCTTTACGTTTTGAAGGTTTCTGAACATTTTGGCATACATTAGAAATAATGGGTGTGTATGTCCGCAATTTTTCGGCCATATTTTCGGCCGCACGGATCAACTGATTTGAATGATTCAAAAAACAATCGATTTCTAGTGATAAGGCTGGCTACGTGTTGATTAGTTTTTGGCAAAAGTTGGTCCAGTCGTATCGGAGCTACACACAATAGGAGCTAAATACAATGCAAACCAAAACAGTGGAGTGGCTAGAACGACTGAACCTGAGGTCCCATGTTCTATCCCGCTTCGAGCAGCTAGTTTTCAAGCAGTAGTGAGAACGGTTTTTATCTGGAAATATAGACAGCAATATGTTTCCAAGTGAACCATATCATAGTATAACCGTAATCCGGTGTTGCTTCGTCAATAAATATACGCAAAAATGTCATTTTTTGAGAGAACAAAGCATCCGATTTGAATGAATCAAAAAACTCTCTGCTTGTGTTGACGAAACAATTGCTTTTGGTTTTTTTTTTGAATTTTAAAATTCAATTTTTTTCCCCAAAAACATTTGTTTTATATCGATAATAATTCGTTTTAATTTTAATTCTGGCTAAAGTTCTTAAGCTCACGTATATACATTAAATAAATAATTTTAATTTTGCGAAGGTAAGCAAGAACTATGGAGGGATATAGTTAGGCAAAAAATCTCCCTCGCAACTAATTTAGATAATAATATTAGACAATATTTATAATTATCAATTTGAAAACATTTAATATTCTTCGAATATTTCATTGCGGTACGGGAAGTTCCAGCAATTTGCCCTAAGTAACCATGCCATACGCCACTAGTTAACTTCCCGTAGGGTAAGTTATTATAATCGTTCAAAAATCGAAATTGAAAATTTTTACATTTCTTCGCGTTTTGAAGGTTTCTGAACAGTTTGGCATACTTCAGAAAAAATGGATGTTTGTGTGCGTGTGTGTGTGTATGTATGTATGGATACAATTTTTCGTCCACGTTTTTGGGCGCATGGATCAACCGATTTGAATGGTTCAAAAAACATTCGATTCCTATTGATAGGGAGATGTGCTGATTAGTTTTTGGCGAAGGCAGATTCAGCCGTTTCGGAGATACGGAGCAAAGAGTGCAGAAAATAGAAATAGTGTTTTTGAGAGAACGGAGGATCCGAAGTGGTGATTAGTTTTTAACAGAGTTTTTTTTGCAAAAAACGGCAGTTTTTGAAAGAAATAAGCATCTGATTTGAATGATTCAAAAATACATTGATTTTAAATTTATTTAGAAAACCGAGGCGATTCGCGGGTTGATTATAATAAAAAATCTTAAAATTTTCAATTATTTTTAACGTATGTGTAACATTAATATTTGGGTTTTGAAACATATTGAGCTAATTATGCTAAGAAAGCATAAAGATCTAGTCTTTTGAATTTTGAAACATAACATTAGTATTTCAAGTTGGATTTTTTAAATTTTAATTTAAATAAGTTATTCAATATTTACAATATCCAAAATCTCCTTCTTAATATCGCAAGGGTCAAATTGTGTTCATCTTAACTTTTCCATCAGATTCAGAGTATCAGATTGTTGTTTTGAAGTTAAATTTTTAACGTATTTTAAAATTGTTGTCCAAATTAGTAAATGATGCAAAGAAATTACATATTTATTAGACTATATTGAAAAAAAAAGAATTATATTTGTATCTGTATTATTGCTCCAGCGTATCTGTATTAGTTCTCCAATAATCAGTTATGAATCAAATTTAGAATATGAACAACTTGGTATAAAAGAAGCTCTACGATTTTTGTTCCAAAGTTTCCATTTCACTTTCCATTTAACTTCCCGTAGGGTAAGTTATAGTAATCGCAAAAAAATAGAAAATGAAATTTTTTATATATCTTTACGTTTCAGAGGATTCTGAATATTTTGGCATACCTTATTGTTAGATAAAATGGATGTATGTGTGTGTATGTGTGTGCGGATACAAATTTTCGTAGACGATTTCGGGAACGCGGATGAAGCGATTTGAATAATTCAAAAAACATTCGATTCGTATTGATAAGGAGACGTGCTGATTAGTTTTTGGCGAAGGCAGGTTTAGCCGTTCCGAAGAAATGGGTAAAAATAGTTGAATAATTCAAACAACATTTTACTTGTATTAACAAGATGAAAAACTGATCAAATTTTCATGAAGGCAGGTCTAGCGGTTTCGCAGATTAAAAAAAATGCCATCTGGCTGTCAAAAATGATTATTAGACATTTATGCACATCAAATTATCAGATATTTTATAGACATTTTAACAATAAGTATAAGTTTTGTTTGCATTCCTATGGGTTCCGTACCAATGCTTATCCGTTAGTGGGCGGCGCGGCGCTTACGCGCTTCAATATTTCGCATCTTTACAGTTAAAGCAGTACGATTGCTTTGAAAAGCCAGTTCAGAGTTTCCAAAATAGTTCAAAATACACTTTTCTTCAAAAAGTCTTTTTTCCGAAAAAAAAGTAAATATTTGTCAAAAATTTATAGTTTCTTTAATAAATAAATCTAATTTTTCAGAGTAAATTTTTTTCATAAATATTAATCTTCTAAATAAAAATTTTTCGTACGGGAAGTTCCAGCAATTTGCCTTAAGGCACGATATCATGCGCCCCACTAGTTATATTTGCTGTATTGCCATAAACCATGCCATAAACCTAACCACGCATATCTTCAAAATTCAAAGTTTATCAGATGCGAAATATTTGCAACAAAAACAAAAGTTACAATTTAACACTTACGGGACGGCACCGATTTTAAAACAATCTAATGTACCGGCTGTAAACTTGATTTTATTGTGTATGTTATGCAATTTATTTGTAAAAACTTGTGGCCATTGAAGGACATACATTTATAACATTAATTCATTTTTAATCATTTTATAAAGAATTGTGACGTTCAAAACAATTTCCAAAATACATAGCTGATTGATTTTTACATGTTTGACAATAAAATGTTGTTCGCCGCCTTCCTCCTAGTGCTTTTCTGTCAGAACAGTCAATACAATCCCTTTTTCTTTCTCTCGCATTTAGAATATGCCACTGATTAGTCAGTATATTTGTTCATTTTTTTGTTGCCATAATGTTTTTTTTTTATTTAATTTGTCAAACTTCTTCTTCTTTTTGTTGGTTGGATAATATCATCATCACACTTATCACTGTCTTCGGTGCGAATAGTAATTTCGTAAAATTTGTCTGTATGAATGTCTATTCGAAACTCATCTTCACTACTGCTTAATTCACAAAATTTACCAGTCGTTTTGCCATATTTAAAAGCGCTCGGTCGTTTTAAATATAACAAAAAAAGGCTAAAAATACTACTAAAATAATTTAAAATTATTTTCAAAATACAACACTGTTTATCACTGCTATATGTAATTTATTCAACTTTTCGATGCAAACTGAGCCATTGTTTATAAAATAGCCTGTGCCTCAAAGAGTATGTTTGGCCACTCAGGTGGACAACCGTCCCCAAAGAGTTAATTTTTCAGAGTAAATAAGCCATTTTCTAAGCACTGAGTCCACATTTTCCATTTTTCTGTATTATAATTTGCGTCTATTTTTGTAACAAGTTCCGTTTCAACTAAATCAGTACGCAATTTTTCGTCGGTAACGCCAATAATTAATTTAATCTTTTGCAGGTTTGAATACTAGATAATTTCTTTTTCGATTCTACGTTAACTTCGAACGCAGAAAGAATTGTATAATTATAAGTAGTATAAGTAGATTAAGCAATAAGCAGAACAATAGTTTACTAACTTGCAGAGTTATTAATCGGTTAATTGTTGAGGTATCAGCAGATACCACATTGCAAACTAAATATGCTTTCTGTACTTTTGTACCCATTGTTAAGTTAGATTGTTTATTATAATCTATTAAGTATTATTGATTTTATATTTAAAAAAATATAAATAGTATATTATAAATTTTATTTTATTTTAGCCATAAGGCGTGTACCGCATTTTTCGCATGCATTGCATGCAAGGTAGGACCGCGACCGACCCTGTATATATATGTAACATTCAATACAATATATTTTTCTTAATGAATTAATTTGATTTCCTTTGAGATTTTTTATTATTCAAAATTTTTATTGTTCGATGATTTAATATTCAATATATCAATGCACGAATTAGGCAAAAATAATTTACCCAAAATAATTGCATAAAAACTATTAAGTGTTCAAAACTTTAGCAAATATGTTGAAAACACTTACCAGTATGCAATATGAATACACGAAAATTACTTGGCTATTTTGATAAATATTTTTTAATTTTAATTTTTACTCCATTATATAATATCTGTCACTATCTCACATATGGCTACTATTCTATTTTTGTTAATACCAATTAACAGATAACATTTTAACTGAACGGCTCGGATAAAATTTTTAGGCATGTTATTGTTCAATATGTCGTTTAATATCAAATTCTTTTCTGAACAGGCGAAGAGACAGTTATTGACTACTTTCAGTCATAGTTAACAAAAATGCCAGTCACACAGTTTGTTATGTAATAGTATTCGATTTATGCATGATGCAGTAAGGATTTAAACTATATCGAGACCAATAATAACAAAACATCGAGCCCGATTCAGCAGTAGAACTAGTGGTGTGTATGGCATCGTGCCTTAAGGCAAATTGCTGAAACTTCCCGTACCGTAACCAAATCTTCGAGGAATATTAAATGTTTTCAAATAGATTATTATAAATAAATACTGTAACATTGTCTAATATTTATAAAAATTATATAAACTGAATTACAAAGTTGAACATATTTGTTTAAAGTATAGTAGAACATAAGTCAGAATTACAATTAAAACTGAATTATTTTCAATATACAAAAAAAATATTTTTTGAAAAAAAAATTAAACAAAAATTTTTTTTCAAAAGCAATTATTTTGTTGAAACAAGCAGAAAGTTCTTTGAATCATTCAAATCGGACGCTTAGTTCTCTTAAAAACTGCAATTTTTTACACATTTAGCTCTGTATCTCCGAAACCGCTAGACCTGCCTTTGCCAAAAACTTCTTCTCGTCATTACGAATTGAATGTTTTTTGGATCATTCAAATCCGATGCTCCGATCTCTCAAAAACTAAATTTCTATTTTCTGCATTCTTTGCTCCGTATCTCCGAAACGGCTGGACCTGCCTTTGCCAAAAACTAATCAGCACATCTCCCTACCAATAGAAATCGAATGTTTGTTGAACTATTCAAATCGGTTGATCCGTGCGCCCGAAAACGTGGACAAAAAATTGTATCCATGCATACATACACACACACACATCCATTTTTTCTGAGGTATGCCAAAATGTTCAGAAACTTTCAAAACGTCGAAAAATGTCAAAATTTTCAATTTCGATTTTTGGACGATTACAATAACTTACCCTACGGGATGTTAATAAATTAATGTTATGGCAAGGGTATAATACGTAGCGTTTTTCATGTACAGTCAAAATGCTCAAAAGAAAACTTAGGGACGGATTCTGCCCCATAACAGACAAATGATATGGCAAGGCCATGTTACAGTCCAAGTTCCATACATTATGGTACTGAATCATACTGAATACTGTCAAAATGCCATGAGATGTATAAAAATTTTCATTTTTCATTTTTTTGCGATTCTATAACTTACGCTACGGAAAGTTAATTATTGCATAGAATACTATGTAAAAAGTTTGTGTTTGAGGAAAATGTTGTAAGCGATTAATCACTATAGCAAATGCCAATAAAAAATATTTATTGTCTTGAAAAAAAGAAATATATGACAAGTGGCGTTGTCTGGGCCTTGCATCCACAAGGTTCCGAGTTCAAATCCGCGTTGCGTGGATTTGGTTCCACTTGAAAATGTAGATAATTAATGTGTTTTTAAGTTGAAATAATCATTTCGAGCATTACTAAATGGAATTAATATAATATAATTTTGCAAATTTAATAATAACACCCTTTGAGTTGCCTCCCACTAAAAATATATCAAAAATAGAATAGGGCTTGAAAAATTAAACAAATAATCTTTTTAAAGAATTTTAATTTTCGGTACAAATAATTTCAGCAATTTGCACGCTGCCATACACCACAGAGTAAAACGTGCCAACAATGGCAATTCAGTTTTTCAGATAATTGAACGTCCGATTTGAATGATTCAAATAACATTTTACTTGTATTGATGAAATGAAGAACTTATATAATTTATAGCGGTTTCGTATTTCCAATGAAAAAAGTAAGACAAAATGCCAGGTCACGGTCAAAAAAGATTATTAGATATATGCGCATCAAATTATCTATTCAAAGAAAGAAATGCAAAAGATTTAAAATTTTGATTTATTGCAATGGGTTTCAAGTAATGTTAAGACTAAAATGGGATTATTATTTTAATTAATAATTAAATCAAATTGCATTTATCATTATAAACAATTTATGATTGCACGAATATTAATATTCCTCGTTTAAAATCTAACTTAACGATTAAATGTGACTCTTTTGTAATGACTCTTTTGCAGGGAATGGCGCCATTATAATGGATATTGGCAAATTCTCCAAATATCTTGAATACATATCTGTATGTATCAGTACACCAGTATCTTTATGGCATAATATACATGTGAATGAATAATTGAACTAGTAGTGTATGGCATCGTGCGTTAATGCGAATGGCTGTAACTTCCCGTACCGTAATGGAATATTCGGGGAATATTAAATGTTCTCAAATAGATTATTAAAATTACTATAACTTTCATTATTCGTGTGTTATAGACAAAATATAAGAACTTTTAAATTGTACGATGACGTTTATTTATGTTTACATGAAAAGTAAATAAATAAAACTTAATCAATCGGATTAAAAATTAAGGACATTGTCTAATATTTATAAGAATTATATAAACTGAATTGCTAAGGTAATAATATTTATTTAAAGTATAAAAGTAATTTTAGAACTTATTTAGAATTAAAATTAAAATCCAAATTACTTTCTATATTCAAAAAATATATTTTTCAAAATGTTTCGTTACAAATTAAATGTTTTTTGATGATTCAAATCTGATGTTCCGTTCTCTCAAAAACTCGATTTCTATTTTCTATCCTCTTTGCTTCCTATCTTCGAAACTGCTGGACCTGTCTTTGCTAAAAACTAATCAGCACATCTCCTTATCAATCGAATATTTTTTTAATAATTCAAAACAGTTGCTCCGTGCGCCCGAAACGTGGGCAAAAAATTGTATCCATACATACATACCCATAAAAATCCATTTTTTCTTAAGTTATGCCAAGATGTTCAGATCAATATATAGCAGTAATTATCTCTTTGAAATGATTTAAAACAATGGTTAATAATCATTGATTTATATTTATTGATTATTAACTTTTTTGCTCGAAAATGTAATTTTAGTACAGGAAGTTTCAGCAAGTTGTTTTAAAGCACGATGCCATGCACCGCTAGTATAATTCAAGATGTATAATAATAATAAATTATAGTACGAGAGAAAGAATAATGTCCGTTAGTTCAAATATAATTTTAAACGGTAAAAGAAGGGTCAACCTTGCTTCTATGGTATTTTTAAGAACGAATACTCGTAATATCGATCTTTTTACTTTCATATAATGTGGACGTTGCGTTTGTCGGTTTCCCAAGAAGCACCAGACCCATTCAAACCGAAATCGAACGTCGTATATATAGTCAAAATTCTGGCAGTATTAACAAGCGCGAGGTAAAACAATTCCTGTTGCGGTTGAATTTGATGAAGGTATCACGAGGAGTGCGTCTTCGCTAGGTTTTTGTTTTCGGATATGTTTTGGAATAATAGAGGTCATTCTATTTGTGATCGAAGTTAATCATGCTTATAGATTATTATATTTATCGTACCCCTTACTAAGATTTAGCAACAATATCGATCTGAATATTAAGAGAAAACTTTATCTAGCAATGGTAAGATCAACTTTAACCTATGGAGCCCTGCGTGGTGTATGACCAATAAGCAAAATATAAATAAATTACAAATTATACATAATAAAGCATTGAGAATGATAGAATGATACTCGGAATAAAGAGAAACCCTCTCACTTATCATTATGTATCCAATCACTAACTACACAACCGACTGAATATACCATTTATATATGAAGTTATATAAAAGCAAGCAAGGATTTTTTTTGAAAAATGCAAACATAGTAATAACCCAACTATTACGGATATTGGATCTATAACTCAAGATATGTTTTGGTATAACAAATACAATCTACCGACAGCCATACTTAATATTATAATTAACACTATAAGCCACCTCCAAGAATCAACAGTGTGTTATGGTTTTTTGTGATTTTTTTCATTATCTATTTAATTTACTTAATTTATACAATCAATAATGTTTCAAATGTTATTTATCAATGAATTGTACTAGTATCATAAGATAGAAACACGAAACACAAAATCTTATACACTCACTTTTTCTTTATATGTAATATAATATGGAAAAAATAAATCTTTTCAAGAAAAAAATAACAATCTATTTGTGATCGATGTATTTGATCTGAAACAATTCTCAATTGCAGGCTGTTCTCGTAAATTAAACTAGTGGTGCATAGCATCGTTAAGGCAAATTGCTCCAACTTCCGTACCGTAATTAAACATTCTAGGAATAGAAATAATCAAATGATTTAAATAATTTTAAATACAATATTTATTATAAATACATACTGAAAATTTATAAGGGCTTATTAAATTGGGCGACGAGCGTATTTTCTTTGCTCCCTATCTCCGAAACGGCTGGATCTGTCTTAGCCAAAAACTAATCAGCACGTTTCTTATCAATAGAAATCGAATATATTTTTAATAATTCAAAACGGTTGCTCC